ACTCATAAGCTACCAGGAAATGCAGGATAAACAGCGAGAGGAGCATGCTGGGTCAGTATCCTGCCTCAGAGGTTTGCAGTATTCATCTGCTATGCTTCCCATATATAGGCAGCTCCTACAGAGTTGATAATGTGGTCCAAGGTTAAGAAGAATAATGTTCAGTCAGTTATTACCACTAAATAAATAAACAAACAGTGATGAGGATATTGTAATTGACTAATCAATTTGTTTATATATTCAAATTTATTTTAAATTTAAATATTGAATAAAATGTGACCCTGAACAACAAAACCAGTCATAAGGCTAAATTTTTTTAAATTTAGATTTATACATCATCTGAAAGCTGAATGATTGTTAGGATCGAACAATATTTGGCCAAGATACAACTATTTGAAAATCTGCAATCTGAAAGAGCAAAAAAAATCTAAATATAGAGAAAATGGCCTTTAAAGTTGTCCAAATGAAGTTCTTAGCAATACATATTACTAATCAAAAAGTTGATACGTTTACAGTAGAACATTTACAAAATATCTTCATGGAACATGATCTTTACTTAATATCCTAATGATTTTTGACCCATACAATGTATTTTTGTCTATTGCTACAAATATACCCGTGCTAAAATTAATTTTTTTTATTAAAAGTTAGTATTGTGGCCAAATGTCCAAACCACTTAATTTATTAAAAATAATAAATATAAATTTAATTTATTAATTCGATTTTTATTTCTATAAAACAGGCCTTTTTATCTGCAGATTAAATAGATAATACACAATTTTAAACATTAAAAAAATTGTAATATATGATTGCTTGTAATTTGGTATTTGATTTTGATTCCTTTTGATGCTGATTATTTAAATCCTGCCTTGTCAAATTTCTAACAAGCATGTTTAATCCAATCGTATTATCATAAATGTTTTCACATTTTTATATCCACATTAATGTGGAAATGGCATAAAAACAGTATTTTAAATATTTATATGAAATAACTGCGTTTATTTTTGTTAACAGGTTAAATGTACTACTCCCATCAAGTAATACTTCAACTATACAGAATATTCACCGTTTTGAAATATCTGACAATGTCTAAGTGATTGATAACTGCTGGTGGTTTTGCTGTGTTACAGGATGCTTTTAAAAGTTCAGACTAAGCTGGCTCAGAGAGAGGAAGAGTTGAAGCAAGCAGCAGAGACTCTGAGTGAGGAGCTGAGAAGCCTGCAGGCGGAGGTGAAGCAGGAGAGAGGAGAGCGGGCTCAGGCCCAGCTGGAGAGAGAACAGAAGAGGCAGTCAGTGGAGGGCCATTCTGCAGAAGCCAGCAGGCTGCGGGGCCGCGTGGAGGAACTAGAAGACGAGGTTTCTGAGCTCAACAGGCAGGTGCAGGAGGAAAGGGGCGCTGCTGAGCATCAAGCTGTTGAGTGGCAGCAGGAGAGACGACAGATGGAAGAGGAAAGGCAAGACCACCACAAACAACTCGCAGAGGCTCAGCTGCAGAGGTGAGAAAGTTACAACGCCCTCAACGAGGTCTCTAGTCCATCAGTGTCCTCATGCACTAAGACATGCAGTGCTCAAGTCTCTGTGTGCGTTACATATATATTTTTTTTGTTTAATCCCATATTGTCGTTATTCACTCCCAGCACGTGTGATGCTGAGACTGAGCACTGGAGAAACTTGTATGAAGAGCTCTATGCTAAAGTAAAACCATTTCAGGTAAGCAAAGATTACACCCACACACACAATTATTTATTTAAAGCTTTTTAGTTAGCTTTTTATTTCATTCTCTTTTTTTTTCTCCCAAAATTAATCCTCTTATTTTATTCCCTTTTATACAATTAAATTTGTTTTTCCCCTTAAGAATAAAAAACAAAAGGAAAAAATATTTATTACATTTTATAAATATAAGTTTTCCTGTTTTTTTAAAAATAATTTGTTATTGTTATTATTATTATCATTTTTTTTTTTGCCAAATCCAGTAAATTTGGTTTTATTATAATTTTCTGCCGACTATCCTCTCTTTGACTTTTGTAATTAAAGTCTGCATGAAATCAAAATGTACAATATTTATTGTTAGTGCACATTGTGTCTTAAAGGTCCCATGACATGCTGCTTTTTAGATGCTTTTATATAGGCCTAAGTGGTCCATAGTACTGTATCTGAAGTCTCTTTCCCGAAATTCAGCCTTGGTGCAGAATTTCAGCCACTACGAGCCAGTCCTACAATGAGCTTTCCTTAGGACGTGCCATTTCTGTGTCTGTAGCTTTAATGCTAATGAGGAGGAGAGAGGCGGGGCAACTGCCATGCTTCGCTCGTTTGCAAGCCATGATGTCTCGAGGAAAAAAAAATATTGCGCTCGTCTCGCACGGTAGTAGCTCATTTTCTCATGGGCGGGCCAAATTCTCTGGGCGGGCAAAGCAGAGAAAGGGGAGGTAACCTTTTCCCGTATGACGACATAAAGGGAAGATTCCAGATTGGGCCATCTGAGCTTTCATTTTCTCAAAGGCGAAGCAGGATACCCAGGGCTCGGTTTACACCTATCGCCATTTCTAGCCACTGGGGGACCATAGGCAGGCTAGGGGAACTCATATTAATGTTAAAAAACCTCATAAAGTGAAATTTTCATGCCATGGGACCTTTAAGGTGAACAGTTAATGCGTGCAAGTTAAAGGGTTAGTTCACCCAAAAATGAAATTTACCCCATGTTTTACTTGCCCTCAAGACATCCTAGATGTATATGACTTTCTTCTTTCAGACGAATACAATCCGAGTTATATAAAAAAAAAAACGGTATATTATTGTAAAACTGTTATATTGTAACTGATTATTTTGTTTTAAACAAAATATTTAAATGTAGTCATGGTCCTCTAGCTGTATGTTGGTTGGGGCTGAATATTTACAGATGACTATAATATATACCAAATATAAAGATGAAACTAGTGCTGTATGAACCATATATGTTAAACATGGTCTGAACATCTACTGCGAAGTATGGAAATTTGAGTCTGGAAAAATAAGGCATTTTTAAATGGAAAATGTAGGAACCCTGCTATACTGGAAAAAGTAGGCAGCTTCTGGTTCACGCAGACTTTAAACACTTTTTTTTCTTTTTTGCTTTAAGAGAGCTTTGCGAACAAGCTTCACAATGAAATTTAGTAAAAGCACTATTTGCAATATTCACAAATGCGGTGTTAAGGTCGCATTGAAAAGACTAGTCAGCCAGTATGTGCAGAGTGGAAGGTGCTACACATAGCTTGGTTTTATATTGCAAAAACAGTAGAGACAAGTCTTTGATAAGGGGCAGTAAATATGTGCTAGACGAATCCTCTCATTTGTCTGCTTATTCTGGTCTTCAGGAACAGCTGGACCGCTTTGCAGCAGAGAGGAACGCTTTGTTGAATGAGAAAGGAGCCACGCAGGTGGAGTTGAACAAGTTAGCCGATGCCTACGCCAACCTGATGGGTCATCAAAACCAGAAACAGAAGATCAAACACATGGTCAAACTAAAAGAGGAGAACTTGGAGCTCAAAGAAGTAAGGCAGTGGTCATAAGGCAATAGTCATTGTTTGACTGATGTTTTTGCTATGTAGCTGAGCGTGTTCATGTGTTCTGCAGGAAGTGTTCAAGCTAAGGGCACAGGTCGGGAAACAGAAGCAAGAGCTGGATCGGCTCAAGTCCGGTCAGACGCCGCGGAGATTGGACCCCAGCAAGGCTTTCAAATACGACCTCAAAGAAAACCAGCAGCCCACTTCAGCTCTTTCACAAGGTGAGCAACTCGAACAGTAGATTAACTTGCTACACATTTTATTATTTTTGTATGTTCTTTTTATTATAATTTTAAAATCTACTTATGCTTTTTCTTTGTTTCCAAGGCAACAAAAAATTGTATTAAACTATCACTCATGGACTACCTTTGTGTAATGTCCCTGGCCTATGGATGACTTTGCAACATGAACACTGTGATGGGATGGTTCAGCGCTCAAATGTCCTGACTGTGCCTCTGATAATGCTGATCTTTTTTTATATACATTTTATTTTTTGTGTATGAATTTAATTAATAGTATTACCGTTGTTATTGTCACTCAATATCCATGTGTAACTGACAACCCCCCTTTTAAATGTTGCTCTTGATTTGACTACAGTGGGGAAAAAATATGCTTATATGGGCTTGGATTCACAGAATGTTCTGTTATCTGGTTTTGTTCAGTACTGGGTGTGCTATTGTCTTAAACTCTTTATAAAGTTCAAAGTTAGCCCACTCTGTTTTTTTTTTTAAGTGTCCAGAGAGCCTTGTGAGGAGTCGTTTTGTTCAATTTGTTCCTCTTTTCTATAAAAGTTTAGTTGCAATATTATTTTGTAATTTTAATACTTAATTAGCTCGTTTGTTTGCTTTGTCTGTCATTGGTCTTAAAGGGATAGTCCACCAAAAAATCCACCCTCATATCGTTCCAAACCTGTATGTATTTGATTCTTCTGTGGGACATAGAAGAGATGATGAGGAATGTTGGTGACCAAACAGTTTTGTTTCCCTTTTTCTTTTCTTTTTTTGGGGTCCATTCAATGGGGCAACATTCTTCAAATTTTCATCTTTTATGTTCCACAGAAGAAAGTAATACAGGTTTGGAATGACATGAGGGTGAGTAAACAATCAAACGATTTTATTATTTGGGTGGACTGTCCCTTTAATGAAAAAAAAAAAAACCGTTAGATGCCCTTTAATGAAAAAACTATAGATTTTAATGTTTTTATTAATAGGGCAGAAAGTGTGAATGAGTTTTTTTTTTTTTTTAATAAAATAGTAATACTTGCTTTTCTCTCTATTTGCTTTGTCATTGGAATTTTATACCATGATTATAACACATTTTATTACTGTAACATCCATTTCTCATCAGTTTGAGAGCCTGAACTCATGAGAGTCCCAGCAGAGGGCGCTAGAACACAAGGGGAAACCAGAACATGTTTCTGTCACTTAACATTCTTTCAAGCTTCCATTCAAAATGACAATCAAGCAAATACTAGCATGTAATGATCATTTATTAAAATCTTTAACCTTTACGAAACATTTCAGCTTGTTCAGCTGCAGTAGTCCTCCAAGTGGTAGATGGTGCAGGGCCTGTGACAGCACCGTTCCACAATCCCTCTCTTCATCTTCATCATCACCTTCTGTTTTAATGGATCAGCCTCAGCTACCTCGTAATCTGCTAAATTTGAGAGCAAGGCTGGAAGAGGAAGTGAACACTTAATATTTTAAATCTTACACTTGTTTAAAAACTATATGTACATTTACAGAGAGCCCTCACCCAGCAAAATCTCCAGGTCCCTCCTGCTTCTGCTGGAGTAAAAGAAGCCTCTAGGCCCACACACAAGGAAAAGCGCATCCACCAGGTTGGAGCCGCACAGATGCTGAGATGGAGTAGAGAGTGATCCAGGCAGAGAGGCCAGCAGCAGGATTATTGCTGCTGCCTGGAGCAACAGGACCATGATGGGCAAAAGCTGTGGACATGTACTGCCTGGAATGAATGCATAAATCTGTATGAATGAAGAGCGCAGTTTTAAGTTAAACTGATGAAAACGCTATTATTGCTGCTGCCTGGAGCAACAGGACCATGATGGGCAAAAGCTGTGGACATGTACTGCCTGGAATGAATGCATAAATCTATGAATGAAGAGCGCAGTTTTAAGTTAAACTGATGAAAACGCTTAAAGAGTTGGTTCTTTCCACCTTTTTGCAAGCTTGATCATCTAGAAAAGCAACCAAAATATGTTTGGTTTCCCACTTACCGTTCCTGGGTGAGCACAGTCAATCAAGAGTGGTCAGGACTGGGATGAATCGTGCTGCTTATATAGCTTCCCATTGCCAGCCCTCGCTCTTGATGGCATCAGCGGAAAAAAACAAAAGTTCCCATGTAATGGCATGACTCCTTGTGCATGTCATCTGGCTAAGAAGTATTAGGAACACATCAGATAACTAAGGGGCTTTATTACGATCAGCTTAAAATGTACAGGTCAGGAGAGCATTTCAGTTAGGTATACTATTGTTTTATCTTGCTGAATTGTTTATTGAACTAAACAGCCCATCAGGGAGCAGGTCCTTGTGGGCAAATGAGAGCAGGAAGTAGTTCTCAGACGTGTTCGATATGTGAGGATTTATGATGAAAGTGGGCCTATGGAGTCAGTGTCCAGAGGTGTCTAAAGCGGCACATGGCCTGCTGGAAAAAGAGACTCCTGGGGCAGATGTGTCAAGTTGCAGTTGAAGAGCATCAGCATCTTCACCTTTTAAGTTTCTTCAAATGTTAACACTGAGGGACACCGTCTAATGGGACCCCCTGAGGTAATACAATGCGCTCTTTCAGATCTCCCTTCATCTGTGTGTTATAAGGCCGTTATCGGGGGCTGTGAATAGAGCTTTAATCAGACTTTGAATGAATTACCATATTAACACAAAGCAAGCAGGTCACCTTAAAAAACGAGAGTCTATAAATCATTTAGTATTACAGCAAACGAAAGCCTATATTATATCATCATATGAATATATATACTTTAATAGTTAATAATATACAAAACAAATATAATAATAGATATATTGTAATTGTTGTTATGGCCAATATTATTAAATATATTCTGCAAATAAAAAGCACCAGCTGTTCAAGATAAATGTTATTTTTTGAATAAAAGGATTATTGTTGTTGTTACATCTAATAATGTAATTTTTAATAAAAATAATATATTATGTGCTAAGTAGTAGTAGTAGTAATACTAATACTATTACTTCTAATGATATATTTTTAATGTAATGAATAATATACAATATATTCTGCAAATAAAAAGCACCGACTGTTCAAGATAAATGTTATTTTTGAATAAAATTATTATTGTTGTTGTTGTTACATCGAATAATGTAATTTTTAATAATAATATTATTAAAAATGGTATATTATAATATTATGTACTAAATAGTATGTTGTTGTTATATCAAATAATATAATTTTTAATAGCAATATAATATTGTGTACTTAGTAGTAGTAGTAGTCAAATGTTAACACTGAGGGACACCGTCTAATGGGACCCCCTGAGGTAATACAATGCGCTCTTTCAGATCTCCCTTCATCTGTGTGTTATAAGGCCGTTATCGGGGGCTGTGAATAGAGCTTTAATCAGACTTTGAATGAATTACCATATTAACACAAAGCAAGCAGGTCACCTTAAAAAAACGAGAGTCTATAAATCATTTAGTATTACAGCAAATGAAAGCCTATATTATATCATCATATGAATATATATACTTTAATAGTTAATAATATACAAAACAAATATAATAATAGATATATTGTAATTGTTGTTATGGCCAATATTATAAAATATATTCTGCAAATAAAAAGCACCAGCTGTTCAAGATAAATGTTATTTTTGAATAAAATTATTATTGTTGTTGTTACATCGAATAATGTAATTTTTAATAATAATATTATTAAAAATGGTATATTATAATATTATGTACTAAATAGTATGTTGTTGTTATATCAAATAATATAATTTTTAATAGCAATATAATATTGTGTACTTAGTAGTAGTAGTAGTAATACTAATATTTTTTATGTAATGGGCAATATTATAAAATATATGCTGCAAATAAAGGGCACAGACAATATTATTAATTATTATGCTATTGTTGATAACCAGTATAAAGGCTGATATATAACTCTATTTTTTCTTTTTACATTTAACATGCCACCTCAGACCATTTTAATGAACTGTTGTGAACTTTTCATTGTTCAAGCTATTCGACTATGATTCTTTTCTGCCATTAAGGAATATTTTCAGGAGCATTCCCTGCCAAACACACCCGGCAGTGAGCTTTATTCTGAGCATGATAACCTGTTTGCAGTCTCTTCACCGCTGGCCCTCTATGACCCCTGCTTCTTGCGCTGTGCGGGTCAGAATGGAGGAGTTTTGTCGGGCCTCTGCAGGAGCAAGATGCGCTGGAAAGATGGGCTAATTTTCTTGGCTCAGACTGGCGGAGTGGGGCAGACTCAGAGAGCAGGATTTTGGTATTATCGCAGTGCAAATGGAGAGCAGAATGAGAGAGGGGTGTGCTGTTTGGCAGTGCGGGGGAGCAGACTGTAATGACCGCATCCTCCGCGGGGGTTAATCGATACACGTGGATCGGCCTCCGGGGGTCTGTCGTGCGCTACTCGTGCTCTCAGAGATTAAACCTGCTCATTTCCCATTAACAGTTTAATAGGGCAACAAGCTACGCACATGCATAAAAAAAAACTTTTTTTATTAAAACTGTGTACACTGGATAAACAAATTATACAAGAACATAAAAATATATATTTATTTTTATTGTAGTTAATTGATGATGATGATGATTTCATTTAACAAGCATCATCTGAACATTAGGCTATATACATTATACAATGCTTATATGTATATATATATACAGTGGGTACGGAAAGTATTCAGACCCCCTTAAATTTTTCACTCTTTGTTATATTGCAGCCATTTGCGAAAATCATTTAAGTTCATTTTTTTCCCTCATTAATGTACACACAGCACCCCATATTGACAGAAAAACACAGAATTGTTGGCATTTTTGCAGATTTATTAAAAAAGAAAAACTGAAATATCACATGGTCCTAAGTATTCAGACCTTTTGCTGTGACACTCATATATTTAACTCAGGTGCTGTCCATTTCTTCTGATCATCCTTGAGATGGTTCTACACCTTCATTTGAGTCCAGCTGTGTTTGATTATACTGATTGGACTTGATTAGGAAAGCCACACACCTATATATTAGGAAAGCCACACACCTATATATATATATATACATACACACACACACATGTATACACTCTGTGGACACACTGTTTTAGATGTAGTGAGAGGACATTAAGAAACTGGTATAATAATGAGAAAATTAAATCGAAGGTGATAATGGTGTTAAATACGTTCTATTATTAATCCCTCATGACATTTAAAATTTAAAATATTTTTATTTTTTAAAGCTAATAGCAGTTTCCATTGCTGGACCTGTTTTGTCCCACGTCTCAAGAATGACTGATATATATATATATAGTTATTGTAGTTAACAATTACTCATTCATTTAGGCAGAAACCTTCCTTGATTGGTTTTTTTCTCAAAATGTAACACTTTGCTTAGTGTAAGTGCCCTTATTTTATTTTATTTTTTATTTTTTATTTCATTTCATTTCATTTCATTTCATTTTATTTTATTTTTCAGATTCGTTCAGTGACTCTTTCTGCAGATTAGGCTACATCTTTACGCCGGTAGGTGGCGACAAGTCACTGGCGTATTTATTTACTCAACAGATTCGTTCAAGGAATCTCATTCAGACTCATAACAGTGAATCATTTAGTGAAGGGGCGTATTCGTTAAGTGGATCCAACCAATGAGCTGTTTCTTTGACAGCCCGCGGTTGAATGTTATTTGCTGTGCTATGGTTACTTTGAATTCGGAATGAATCAGTGTTTTTGAACGAATAATTTAAGTGAAAGAATCGTTCGTTTACTTCAATTTAGCAAAATATACTAGCATAGTACTCATGTTTGGCAGAAATAGTATCATGCTATATAAGCTATTCCGAATTTAAGAGTATGGAAGCGAACGAACGATTCTTCTACTTAAAAGATTTGATCAAAAACAGGCATTCGTTCTCGCGCAGTTTTGCATCCGGGACTTTTCGAGGTTTGCACCTGCCTTCAGGTGAGCTGTTAGCAAAGTGGTATCAATTTTTGGATTATATCTAAACATTTAAAACCAGCTTACTGAATTCAGAATGGTCCGTTAAATCTAATTTAAGGATATTCATCACCAACCTTAAAACAAATCGTTTCGCTGCGTGTCTTTTTTGTAAACATGTAACTTTAACTACAGGTATGTGTTTAACGTTACTTGGCTGTCTCACGAAGTTAGCCATATCTGGAAAAAATTCACTTTTAGGTCTGATTTCGTCTGCAAAATTGATTATTATCATTCAGAAATGCGTACTAGTTTTATTTAGGTGTAGCACTTACGTTGTGTTTATGTTGGCGTTTGTCTGGAGTAACGTTAGGCCTAATTATTCCAACTAGAACTATTTGTGATGTATCGTTTTAGAACAGTGCTATTTTATCTTTTGAGTTTTTTTCATTTTATATATAAATTGACTTCGTTTTTATTTTTATTAGTGTTTTTTTAAATCATATTAGTAAAAGTTTTAGTAATGTTGTTGCTTGTTTTTGTGATTTAAAAAAAAAATTAGTTTATTAAATATGTCTATACACTTTATATTTTTTTATCTCTTAGTAAAGAAAGAGGCAAAAGAGGCATTTCTGAAGTGCTAGGTTTTAGTCCTTAGCTGCAAGGGAGAAAAATGGAATATGAACTGTTGGAATTGAGTTTTGTCTCATGTTCTTACTGCTGTGTCATCTTCAATGTGATCGATGCATATGTGATCGCTTTCAACATCCCTCCTTTCAAGCTATTCGACTATGATTCTTTTCTGCCATTAAGGAATATTTTCAGGAGCATTTTA